GCCACAGAGATCAGAATTACATGGTTTAGCCTTTTGGAGAAAACCACTATGTGGATAGTATTTCACAGACTGCACGGAGGGGTTGATTTTATTTCCTTCTTGCGGTTGGAGCTGCTCTTCCTTCCCCCTCCAGCCCCTGCAGTGGTCTGCTGGGCGGGTGGGTTGATGTGATTTCCTGGGATGCTGTGGGGGATTCTCCCTGGGGAAAAAGTGGGGGCTCCTTAGGGATCACTTCTAGCCTTTTCTTTCAGCCTTTGTACCCTAAGCTTCTTCCTGCCCACAGTGTACCTTCTGGCCACTGGCAGGGCTGTTCCCTCTGCCAAGGGTCCTTGTGTTCACCTTGCAGACATCTACTCCTCCTTCAGCCCTGACATCATGTCATCTGGAAAGCTTGACTTCAAGCTCCAACTCTCCCATTCTCTTCCCTTCCCTTTCCAAAAAATTTATTTATTTATTTATTTATTTATTTATTTAGCAACAGACCGCAAAGCCTCCTCAGGCCGCAGCCTGAGTCCCTGGGGCATCACAGCAACCTCAAACTCTTGGGCTCAAGTGATCCTCTTGCCTCAGATTTTCTGTTTTTAGTAGGGACAGAGTCTTGCTCTTCCTCGGGCTGGTCTTGAACTCATAAGCTCAAGCAGTCTGCCCAACATGGCCGCCCAGAGTGCTAGGATTATAGGCGTGAGCCATTGTGCCCCATCCCCCTTCTAGAAAATGTAAATCCTTTTTTATTCCTGGGTTCCTGTGTTCACTTTACTCTTGGCGGATGCGGTTAACGTTAGCATTTATTTCACTCTATACTGGACATACAGTGTAGTGTCCTGTATCTTCAATGGACTGCCAGCTCTGGGAGGGTAGGAACTTCCTAGCACCATTAATACTTGTTGAATAAACAGACAAACAGTGAGTGTGGCCAAGGAGTGTGTATGTTTTAGTCATTGTCAACAAACATTTGTTACATGCTTCCTCTTTGCCAAAATGAACATGGAGATTGAGTAGAGATTTCAACAAGGAGTGACTTTTAAACAGCCCCCTTAATAAGGAATGATGACACTTGGGATGCAGGGAGAGTAGATGGGATTGTTCAGAAGGCTGAACAGAGTGTTACGAGAAGATACTGATGGTGATCATGGCTGTAGGCAGAGGCAGCACAGTTACACCCTTTTGACTATAATAGAAGGTCGATATTGAAATGACAAGCCTACCAACTATGTTTACCGCTCCATTTTGTTACGCTTTTGGAGATAATTTTCCCAAATTACTTTGATATACATGAAACCTCAGCTACTTGGTGTCATCTCAATACTACTCCTCCCTAAGAAGAATGTAATTGATATTCTACACGTAGGAACATCTGAGTCCATCGTAAGAAAACTTATCTGGCCCAGGAGAGTATGTTTAAGGTTTAAGATGTCAAACAGAGCACAGAGGGTCTCTTTCAGGAGGTCAAGCAAGGGTTGGGTGTGCTTTCTATAAATCATATTGACATCCCTGCAGAGAGGAGGAAGCTGCAGTGTCTCCCCTTCTTGTGTAGTGAGGCTGTGGCCAGTGGGGTGAGGGGAATTGGGGGGAGAGAGAGAGAGAGACATTGATTTTAAAGAATTGGCTCACGTGGTTGTGGAGGATTAGTAAATCCAAAATTTGTAGGATAGGCTGGCAGGCTGGAGACCCAGGAAAGAATAGCAGGTTGAGTCCAGAGGCCCTCTGTGGCGTAATTCCCTCATCCTCCATCCAGATAGGTCAGTCTCTGTTGTATGGAGGCCTTCCCCTGAATGGGTGAGGCCTGGCCACGTTATGTAAGCTTATCTGTTTGACTCAGAGCCCACTGATTTAAATGTTAATCTCATTTAAAAAAATACTTTCAACATCTAGAATGATGTTTGACCAACTATCTGAGTGCCAGTACCTAGCCCAGCCACCACGTAGAATGAACCCTCACGGAAGTGAAGAGGCAGAGTGAGGTGTGATGGAGAGACTGCCCAGCAGTGGGCTAGGGAAGC